GAAAAATACATTGTCGGAGTCGGAAGTAGAAGTGGAAGAATAAGCCAATCACAGTGCTGAATACCAGGTCTTGTGACTGGTTTATCCTTACGCTTCTGCTTCCGACTCCCACACTCTAGTTTTCACTGAATCATAAGCGACGGAGTCGTAAACGGAATCGGAAGAAATGGAAACGTTCTGACTCTTCCGACTCCGATTCTATCGAGCCAAGAGATTATCAAGGTGCTGGTCGAGCTTTTGACTCCGCTTACCACTCCGATTTTCGATTTTCACTAGGTCGTGCTCTCTTAGGACTCCGACGCTACTGAAAACCAGCCAATTTATCATCGCTGATATCTTAATTTAATATTTCTGTAACACTCCGGAAACGGAAAAGGAAATATTTCAGAGATACTATATTTCAGTAAATTGATCTAATGAAGTCACACATGGAGAATGCTGATAACGAAGTAAACTAGTTATTTGCTCCCTTCATTACGTTCAACAGTGCATCCGCTAAGATGGAGTCTTACCATCGTACACTCTGACTCCTGATCCAGTTGTTACTGGCAATTTGTTTTGTTTTACTTTCTCTTGACGGCGCCTCCTGTTTCATTCAAGTAAGAAACGAAAGTTACATACAGTCAGTATCCAGCATTTTATTTTAATTACAAGTGACTGACGAAAGAAGTAGCTCAAAATGATCATCCATTATGAAAACCTGCTATCTAATATATTGACAAAGACTAATGTCAGCATCATGTAGGTAAAACGTCACATTGAAGGTGACAAAACAGTTACTAGAACGGTTTCTGTTTGAGTGTCAAAAAGCATAATTGCTTTTGCACTTACTACGCTACGCAATGGACCTAAAAGACTGGTGCAACTTTTTCATTCAATGAGAAGTAAAACCGAAACCAATCGTCATTCGTTCGCACACGTTTTCCCGCGTCTTACTTCGAGTTTCTATTGGTTCAATGCATTTTCGAATTCTGTGTCCTTTGTGATTGGCTAGAGTGATTACTTTGGTTTGGTTTTACGACACTGGGTTGAAAACTGCTTCACTAAAGAATGCTTTATCTCCACTAGCACATAAGAATGTTATAATCAGCGAAAAGTAATGATTATAGCACTGAGTGGAGTCCAATTCGGTCTGGGTTGTCATAAGAGTGATGACAAAATCGGACGACCGGGCAGCGGGAGTCCGATTTGTTTATCAACAGTATGATTACAGACCGAATTGGACGACACGAAGTCTTATTACCAATTAATCATTACCAATTTCCGAGAAAAAAAAAGAATAGCCAAGTTATGAAAGAAAGAAAAATTTGTATTAACATACCTACAAAGGAGATGTAAACATTCTAAGGCCACCGCGCCTCCTACCGGAAATTAGGCGCCAAAAATACAAAAGCAAGCGCGCGCACGTACGCACGTAACTACAACTTTTAATGTGACTGGTTGGTTTAAACTACAACTTTGAATGAGATTGGCTTATTGAATTGTCCGATAACAAACTGTCCAATAACAAACTGTCCGATAACAACTTGGCAAATGAATTAGTGGTAAATAGGAGTTTTTTGAACCAATCAGAATCGATGAAATTGTAATTTTTATTATGATATCCGAAATGTCATTCGATTCCATCATTGATTTTTCCATGCTTATGTGTTACCAAACCTTTGCTTATAGTTATTAGCAACCTACCTTTTGAAGATTTTGCAGCAGGTGAAAGAAACGATCAAAACTATCAATAACCCAACAAGTCCGACAAATCCGTAAATAATGTTTAGGTACATTGCAGTCTTGGAGTCTGCTGTAAGGAAGAGATATACCACAAGTCTTTTCATTAATGCACCGACTTATTTTGCCCTTTTTTTCGTGAATCATTAATGATCATATCAAACAGTACCTGCTACATTTTTTATCGTGTATTCCTGTTACTCAAAGCTATGTCAATTACCTTCAGTTGCTGGAGCTGTTGTAGCGGTTCAAATTTCAAAAGAAGACAAGTATTTACATAGATAATAATTTGGTGCTAATGGTAACCTTGAAATATACGCAACAGACAAAATTGAAAAGAAAAATCAATGGTAAAGAAAGAATTAGTAACGCCAGTGCTCCACCTCCGGTACCGAATGCAATTAACTTCAACGCCTTCTATCCATCTGCGGTACCAGCCAGAAATTACAGACATTTATTCAGTGCTAATCAGTCGTGAGATGAAAGATATATCAACCAGTCAGCTTATAACTCGAGCTGAAATCAAAGTCTATGGCGACCTTAAGCTTTGAAAAAGCTTTCTTTTCCTGTTCCTGTTTACGGTGAAGTGAAATACCCACAGCTTTTGTAAAGGTTTTTACTTCAGGTGATTCATTTCTGTGCTAGTTTTCACAAGACTAGAAGGGAAATGATAAACGTAAAATCATTTACTTGAAAGAGCAGGAACATATTATGTTAATCTTAACTTAACAATTTAACAAACTAACCAGCTCTTAGTGTAAAAGTCTTCGTTCCAGTAGGTCCTTTACCGATGTTGTTCACTGCAAATACCTGAGGAAAAAAGACCAAAGCGCCTTGTTTAGAACTTTTACGGATTTATTTTTTGTCTTTTGTTTGTTTGTTTGTTTGTTTGTTTGTCTGCTCGCTTCCCTAGTATTAAACTCCAAAATAGCTCTTAATTGCTGACGCGGTAAACTGCTTACCCAAACCACGAATTCAAATTGTACCTACCTGGAATTCATAAGTTTTTCTCGCCATTAGATTGTCAAACTGCAATTCAGTTTCTCGTGTAGTTCTTGACTTGATATCTGAAGAATCATCCTCTTTTATGTATGTCACGTGATAATTTTTAACGACGCCATTCTTCACTGGTAACGTCCATGACACCACAACGGCTTCTTCCGGTTGTTCAACCGATACTTCGGGTTTGCCAGGAACTATGTTATATAAAATAAACCAATTAAGAACATCAACTTCCAAGCGTGATCTCTAAAACCTTGAGCACAGCAATTTTAGCACACTCAACATATTTACCTTCTTCCGACTGGTCGAGAGCAGAACAATAAATCTCAATAGTCCTCTCAATATAAGGAGTCGTCCATTAAGTTGCTATTTTAATATAACCAAGCGTACCCTATTTACTAAATTAAACGCCAGATCCCACATAAACGCCGATTTCAAATATGGGCGAGTCGAGGGGAACAGTTTTAATCTATATTATAACTCTTTCACGTCACATTATCACATTTGCCGTGATGCTATAATGTTGCATACCCTTGCAGTGAAACCGACCTCCAGTATATCTTTTAAAACAGTTCTTTCACTTGGGAAACTTTCGGGTTCAAAGCAAACCAAATTAAATTAATGAAAATCTAAAGCCGTCTTATCTGAGTGAGATCTATGTATAGGTAGGGCAATAAATAATATTAATTAATGTGACAGTATAGTGCACATATTATAAAAATCAAAAACTTACTTGATCCATTAGTCCCTACGAAGATTACTGCGTAGTTTCCTTCAACTCCATGTCTTCGTTTCGCCACTTCACTCACTCTGTTTTTAGCGCAGATGTTAAAAGCGTAATTCACAAATGACGAGAGGTTTGTTATCATCATCTCTGCCGTGTCTAAATCTTCCTTATATGGTAAGTAAGTGACATCATTTCCACACTCTTCATCAACACACTCGTTGTCGTCGTCACTGTCACATGGCTTACGACAGTCGACGTCATAGTACACATGAGTTCGGTCACCGGTTATTGCAGGCGGCAGCCATCTTAACTCCACTGCACTTTGGTTAACGAATGCAACGCTAATGTTTCTCGGGACGGTTGGAAGGACTAAAAGCAGCAAATATCAACGGTTTTATTAATTAGTATCTCAGGATACTAGCGAGGCATCTTAAAATTAACACGCGAAAGAGCTGATGCCTAAATACATTTAATGAATATTATTCATACAATAGGTCAACTGATCTCCTAAATTCCAAATTACGGACAATCCCAGATGCATTCTGAAGATTGTGAGGTAATAATTCTGTCGAAATTTAAACATTATTCATGTTGAAAGTGAAGGCACAATTAATGTGTGAATTGATGTTAACATTGTCATGAGTTCTAGATTTCTGAGATTTGAGTCCATTCAAAATGTATCTCAAATTAATTTTGTAGCATTTCTTACCCGTACAAATAAGGCCCGTCTGGTCATTGTATTTTCCATTTGGACAAGCTAAAACAGGAATGCACCAACTGAGATAAGAACAGCAGAAAGGGAAATAATATTTATTGTACAGCATTGCACTTATTCACCTAGGAACCTTTCAGTGATTGCTACCATGCAGTTACAAGTTCCACAGTGTTTTCACTGCGTTTTAAATAGAGCGAAATAGAACACGCTGGTTTCTGTGGTTCTTCCTAAAAAGAGACTGAGCTCAACGAGGGGTGTTGCTTCAATATTCCTAAAAGGAAAGGGGAAACAAAAAAGCCATCCACGACAATAAAAGGTAATGTATG